ACTGTTCGTGGGTGTAGTACCAACTGAGTTCGGCCCGTTGGTATGATGTTCACACTGCTCCTGCTGATATACATTTGTTGTTTTGTTTTTGCAAGGCCATTGCCTCTATGAGCCCCATAAGGCCCAATTTTTGCAGCCCGTCGGCCGCCCTAAGTGAAGGCAGGCTCGACGAGGCCCTCAGGGCCCTTTTCTGGCCACTACGCAACTCAGGGAAATTCAGGCAGTTGCGCAGCGCCAGTTGGTTGAGTGAACCCGGGCCCTGGCCCGCCTGTGTGAATGAATGTGAAGCAGGCCCTGGGCTGGATTCGGGTACCGGGCCAAACAAAGGCCGAAGGCAGTTGGGTACATGCAACCACTACAGGCCCAGGGCCTGCTCTCGTCGTGCTGGGCCTCAGGCTACCGGGGCCTACTGGAAGCTTCCTGGGACTGGACGCAGGAAGGCCACTTCGATATAGGGAAGGGCCTGCCTCCTCATTCAGCATTCGGGTGCTGGCTGCATGCTGCGCAAGCGCTGCTGCTGCGCTATTTGCTGGCTGGCGCCTACGCTCTCACGGGCGAGCAGGGAAGGAGCACGCAGCCATAGCCGAGCTGCGCTGCTGTAAGCTGGGTGAGGCGCAGGGTGGTTCTTGGGTGCTAGTGGCATCTGTGAGTTGGGGAACGAGGTTGTAAGTGTAGCGCGAGACATACCTGGTGCTGGAAGCGTGCAACATTGGTCGCCATATGCTCGTACTTCAGGAATGCTGTTGATGTCATCTTTCGGCTTCGTAGTATAGGCTAGATAGGATCTGTGCAGTAAACCGCGTTCAGCAGCGGCCTGGGCGCTGTAACCCAAGCCCAGGCCCAGCGAGCAGTGCGACCACGCGCTGCTCGGCCTCAGGCCGCTGCGGGTGCTGTGTGACCACGCACAGCAAGAAATTCAAAGGTCGAAGTCAACTGTAGGTCCAGGTACCTCGCCCAGGCCCTTGGTCGTGTGCATTGACTTGTATGAGTGCAGGTACCCAGTCAGAACGGTGGACCAAGGAGGATACAGTTTCAACTCAATCCAGGCCGTYGACGACAATCGATCTCGGCYGTGWCTGACTTGAGGACTGGGGCCCAGACCCCGCCGTCAACACTACATATTGGGCTGACTTCCTGGCTTTGACATCTAGACTCTCGTCTGGAGTCTATGGGGACTCGACGCTCTCGCATCAACGCCGGCTCTATGCTGTCTTGCTGGCGAGACGCTGCGGGGAGAATTTGAGGCGCTCGTCGCTGGTTCGTGGCTTGAGTGTGCTGTGCGACCAGCATGCTGGCTGGCGCACTACTGTCTGAGGGGTTGTTGACGTGGCAGATGCCACGTGTCATCTTCGTGACTGCTGCCACATGGTATTGCTGCTGAGGTGGAAGGCGCTGGGCGCCTGTATTGCTGTTCTTCTTGACAAGTACTCGGAAGGAGGAATCAGGACTGTGGTTGGGGTCATGATACGCACCTGGTGTCTTCAACTTCGTCGTCACGCTGCTGATTGATGACTGGTCTACTGGTGCCACGTGGCACTGTTGGACTACATTGTCTTGGATGTCCGGATCTCTGATTGAGACACGATTATGCTGCTGGGAGGAGGAAGTGCCCGAAGAGGAAGTGGGCTGTAGGGAGGAGACTCTTCCACCCTCTCAAAGTCTATTCTCCCTCCTCCCTCTCTCGTCTGTGTATGCATTCTCTCTCGTTTTGGGATCATTATTATCATGATTTATCAGCAGCGTTCGTTTACTTGTCTTTGCGAGTGACGACTGATTATCACGACTGGGCACATTGCAATTTGGTATCGGAGCTCTACTTCCGACATTGTCTACTACGGCGCTCGCGTCTCTCCGACGCGATTGATAACTAGCGCGCCATTTTCTCTCCACGTTCGCGCGCGCAGGTAAGTGAGTATCGGGATGCTCTCTATCGAGCCCGACGACGCGCACGAAGGATATGGTGATGACGGGCAGTTTATGTCTGCCAAACGATGATTGATTGCTGACGTGGCACATCCACGCCCACTAAAGATTGGAGCAGGGGACTTCTTGAGGTGCGTTGAAGACCTCTCGCCGACAAGATTGAAGAATCGCAGCGCTATCTTGCTGATCAGAAACGAGTAGAGCCGATGATCTGGCTCCTTGTTAACTCGTGATATTGGCGAGATGAAGTGCTGACGTGGCATCCGCTGGTTGAGTTGGGGACGAGGCGAGCAGAGTTGTAGAGCGCAGCATCGTTGGAGATCACCTTCACGAACGGATCCGGGTAATGAGAGAAAACGGAGCGGCCAGCATTCACCGCTGAAGCCACCCCCACGATCTTTGATTGGTTCGAAGTGCTGACTTGGCGAAAGCTGAGTTGGCATGCCGGGGGGTTTGGCCGAAGCAGGCACGACGTGCCTTGGGAAACGATTGATGCATTCCGACGCTGGGAGCGGCACGAGCGGCAGACTTTGGCTTCTGGTGCTTGTTTGCTGTCGTGGTGATTAGAGTGCATGCTGAAGTGGCATTGTGGGGAAGACTGACGTTGATTGGTTGTGTTGTCGGTACTTACCTGTTGTCTGGCTGTGCGTGCACACGTACCTGTGAATGCTAACGATCCTGGCCTGCTCAATTACCTGGAAGTGGAGTCATCACATGAAAGGGAGAGAAAACAAAATTAGAACAGCTTATAGAAAAGACATCAATCGAGAGAATAATTAATTATTTTTATTTATTTATTTTCTTGTGAATCCTCTGCTGTACTGACGATTGAGTGGTTGTCCAGCCATCAGATAATATTGTCTGTTTCATTTTTATTTGAGAAAGGATTGGCCTGTTAAGTTTCCTGTTGATGTTGATCATGGCACCGATTGCTGAGCACATGCGTCAGTCTATTCTGACCCGGTGGGTGCCTCGTCTGTTCGGATTTGGGCAAGTGCCTTATGCGGTGGGAGCAAGTAGCTCCTCGATTGAGCCG